TCTCTCTCTCTCTCTCTCTCTCTCTCTCTCTCTCTCTCTCTCTCTCACACACACACACACACACACACACACACACTGTTTAAATAAAATTACTCCACTTAAAGTGATAATGCTTCACCCAAGAGCCATAGAGACTCTAGCAAAATCCCCAGTGCCAGGCATGAGAAACCTCCTTTAGAGTTGTTGGCAATAAAAGTGTAAAGACTGTCAATATAGGCTACTTCTGTCATCCTTGGTTTACTCCCAGAATTTGAAGTAAGACTCCATTGCTGGAGACACTTTGGACCGAAGACACAGAGTCATTGAGCTGGATCTGACCCAAAGCCTCCTTCCTGGAGATTAGCCTCTGTAGTATCATAAGGTGCAGCTTAAGCTGCCTAAGAGGAAAAGGGGTCAGTTGTCCTACTCAGCTGTGACACCCGTGAACCACGTCAATGGCCAACCCAGAAACAGTAGTGGCTCTTATACCTTAGTGGTAACCAACATCTGCCTCAGTTAGACTTAAGGCTAACTGAAGAGGAGGGACTCCTGCCTGCCACTGTAAGTTTACCTGGGATGAGTGAGGTCAGAGATCTCATAGGAGAGCTTAATACTGCCACTTTCCTAAACCAGGATAATTCCTGACTGCATTCTAGGTGCTTATTCTTATAGACACAGTTAAGCGTAGCTCTCTTCTCTATCCAAGATACGTCTTTTCACACAGACCAGGACCACTACAGAAAGCCACATCTAGTCAGAAAGCAGAGAACAATTCCTTGTGAGGTGCCCAGCCCCAAATGATACACCTAAAATATATCCCCTGCACTTAAGGCTCAGGAAACATCTTGGAAGAGGGAACAGAATGATTGTTAAGAGCCGGAAGATCAGGAAGTCTACTGCAAGATTGAGTCTTTTAGATTTGGCAGGGAAACCACACAGGAGGAATGAAATGGGTGAATCTGAGAGTAGGCTCTTTGAGCATTGACTGTGTACTTCCTATACAGAATTACCTTTCTTTGTGGAAGAGTCAGTTTGCTGGTTCATTTAAGGCAGTGGTTCTCAACCTGTGGGTCATGACCCCTTGGGGGGTAGCATATCAGATATCCTGCATATAAGATACTACATTCATAATTACATTTATGATGTAGCAATGAAAATAAATTTATACTTGGGGGGGTCACCACAACATGTATTAAAGGGTTGCAGCATCAGGAAGGTTGGGAACCACTGATCTGTGGAGACTTTTTGGCAACTGTATTGTCTTTGTTACTGCATGCTGGTTAAGAGTGAAACTGAAAAGCTGCTTGTTTTGAGAACAGACATCCTAAGGGGAGGGCGAGAGTCTTTGAATTTATTACTCTAAGCTTGGACTTTGCCCAGACCCTGACATCTAGGCATTGCCTTTGGTATTTATTATCTCTTTTTTGGGGTTCTCAGATACTAAAGTTGAGCAGAGCCTTTGTAGAATATGACTAAGTGAAGCAATGGTGTGTGTGTGTGTGTGTGTGTGTGTGTGGTGTGTATACACACTTAACTATATATAGTTTACAATTTATGTGTTTGCACACATACATGTCCATATATAACATATGAGACTTTATTTAAAGGAAAATATTGTATGCTAGTGCTTAGAGAAGCTTACAGTTTAGGAGACACCACTGCCTCCTTTGTTTCATGCTCCAGAAGGCCCTGAAATGGAAAAGTCCTTGTATGGCAGAAGGTGGAGAGGGTAGTGCCGTGTGGCACATGCAGTAATGCTTACTATAGCAATGGATGACAGTCCTGGCCTCTCTCATGTCTGTAGACCTCAGGAGGGCAACTCTGGGCTCTATTGAAGGAGGTTTTAAACTCTCTGTCTTTTATCCTACTGTCTCAGGGCTTCCAGCAAAAGTTCTCCTTCCACAGTAAAGAGATTGTGGCCATCAGCTGTTCTTGGTGCAAGCAGGCGGTAAGTGCCGGAAAAATCAAGTCACATGGGCTCATGTGTGGACCACATCTGGGCATTCCAATGCTTGGGTTCCTGCCTACATGTGGAATATCACCCTGACTGGACATTCAGATTTTTCTCAGATAGCATCCTCAGAAGAAGAAAGAGAGTAAAATTATAGAACAAAAGAAAATATAAGTAGGGGAAAAATGGAAATTTTTTACTTCTTTTGTACAGCTTGGAGTCCAGGGTAAAAGACTAGGAGCCCTCCCTGACTCTTGCCCTGAGACTGGAGACTAGTGCTCCTTTTCTCTAGGACACCCACTGTCTTCCGTGTCCACTGGACTGCTGAGGACTCATACCAGAGTACAGCACAAGGAGCCTCCAGTGAGCTCTGCAACACAGGGTCCAGGCGTCGGGGTTCCCCTGGTCTTGATGTGGGTGGCTTTGTTATGGGGCTGTGAAGAACAACTGCCTCTTGTGTTGTTCTTTAGGTTTAGATATTTTTGGTTTTGTTTGTTTGCTTGTTTGTTTTTGTAGCTATCCATGTGTCCACTAAAACACAGCCCTTCCTTCTACTGACCACGTGCTTTCGTTAAGACCCCACGCTAATGTCCCATTTACTCTTTTACCTCCCGTCCCATCTACTCTGAAAAGTTTCTACTTGACCCCTTTCTCCAAAACAGATGCCGAGCCTCATCATTTGCTTGCCTCTGTGCCTGCTTTTCATTTCACTTCAACCCAGTTGGCAAACTATAGCATCCAGGGCCAAATGAATTTTCTATTTCTATACACAACAATTACAACATGGCCACACCCTATCGATGTAAATTATCTGTAACTGGTAATACCTCAGAGATGACTCCAGTATTGGCAACACACCCAGGCCTTTACAGAAAGTTTGTTAACCCCTCCTCTAGTCTTACAGTCTATCCATTCTTTGTTTTTAAAAATAGAGTCTTAATGATGTAGAATATATTCTCCTTTTGTGACCCTCCTGCCTCAGTCACTGAATGCCGGGATTGTATGCTTGCACTAGCACATCAGCTTTCTATCTACTTTTTGGAGTGTCTGTGTAGATAGAAATGTATCATCACCTTTATTGCAAAGGAGCCCTGAAGTCTATGTTGTGTTAATAGCTAGGTTAAAGCCTCATGGGTCTACACATAGCAGATGCAGCTCCTCAAACTAGTGATAGGACTGGAACAGGTGTGGTTTGAATGAATTGCAGTTGATGTTTTTGTGGGTCAGACTCTTTGTAATGTAGCAAATCTATGAGATCCAACCCAATAGTTTCCTCAGGGCCTTCATTTGTCAAGAGCCTCCGGTTATTAGGCACAGATTCACTGGTCTGGACAGTTCAGTGTTTGCTGTGCTACCATCTTGCCCCGGTTTGTTTTTCTTGGCATTTCCATTTCTTCCCAGTTGTCACACATGTAACCTCTGTGCTTCGGTCTAAAAACATATTCACGAGTCCAAGGCTACCCTACTTGTAGCAAAACTCCATGTCCTAGGGGCAGCGTCTCCCTCTGGGATTGGGTGTCAACCAGTCTCTAATGCTGCCCAAGCTGCTGGTTCCCTGGACTGGCCAGAGGCTGCTTCTGGGACAGCATCTCCTCTCCTCTGATAGGCTGCTGCTCCTGTGACCCTGAGGTGATGTATCTTGTTCAGGGTCTGATAGTTCGGAGCACTTTAAGGTGAACACCTCTATCCTCTTCATTATCTGTCATCTAACTGAGTCACTACAGAGAGTGACTTTTCACTTGACCATTGTGATAGAGCTTTGGCCAATGTCACATAATTTTAATATCCCAGAAAGTGTGGAAATTGATTTTGCAAGGTCATACATGCAAACCATATGCACACAAATTACGGTATTGACATATTTTAGTAGTACAAGTAATTCCAGGAAATTTGATGTCAAATAAAGAAAGAAACAAATAACTGACCATCTAAGATGCAGGAGAGTTTGGGGGTTAAGGAGCTGGGTTCTTTGTGTATATGTCTTGGCTCCAACATTTAAAAATACCTGAGAGTACCTTTTAGTCTCTAGCTTCTAGATCACTCAAGTATATCTTGAAAGAGTTGCTTAGGCAATGTTTGAAGCCCTTGTACTGTAGAAATGAAATGGCTATGCATTGAGATTTTAATTGCTTAAAGAAAGTAACCGAATTTGAAAGGAGGTGTTCAAATGATGTTTTTGTGGTGTGGCACCCTCTGGTTTAATTTGTTTGCAGATTCCAAATAATGGGTGGTATGCTGAATTATTAATTATTTCATCAGTATTTTTTCCTTAATTGACACAAATTAGCTACTACATCACATGAGAGCGTCACAATATGCAGAAATGAAACCAAAATCCTTGTGACAGCACAGAATCAAATTAGACTGGCTGTGTGTGCCAGTTTTCCCCAGACAGTCCTAACTGATGACTGTCTCCCAACATTGTTGTCACCAGTGGTTCCTGTTCACTCTTAAATAGCTCCAGTTGAAACGGTGAACTGTGCGTTGGTTGCAATAAGTATAATTTAAGTTGAAACTAATTTAAATAAAAAAGTCACCATGATTAGACACAAGCCCTTTAATTATTGCACACGCTGATTTTATGTCCATTAGAAATGAACTGTCCCCACAGGACTACCACCCCAGTGTCAGAAGAGGTGATTGCAAATGTGACCACACTGACGTCACGTGCCAGCCTCCCAGCCGAACACTGAGTTAAGCCCTTCACCCTGGGGTACTGCGATGACTGTTATTAGCTTATATTTCCTTCCTTCCTGGAATGAACGAGCTCCTCTGGCCTATGGAGTGTCACAGGGCCACTGTAGTTTTAAGGGCTTTAGATATGCCTGGTAGAAGGGATCTCTTTGTGCCTTGTTACCACTGAGATTAACAGCTTTCCAGAAGAGACCTCTTGCTTCCTTCCTGGCTCCCTAACCTGGAAAGATTGCTTGGGAGGATTTACAACCGTGGTAGAAGCAGACAGGCAGGACATGGGCATTGTCTTCCCAGCTGTCTTCATTTCTTCTCTACATTATCTATCAGACACAGTTGTGTGTAGTTAGATTAGTACAATACTCAGCCTCTTTATGTAAATAGTCCATTAGACAGAGCGCTGTGGTGGGCTTAGGCTGCTAGGCTCCTGGTAAACACTGTTATGTCTATACTAGATTGAGTTACTCTGGCCTCTGTTCCCGGAGTGGTTGAATGCCGATGAGATGTATGTGTTCTTGATGTGTGCATGTATGATTTTTGTGTGTGTGTGTGCGTGCGTGATTGTGTGTGTATACTTATCCTTTCTTGCTATGAGTTACTTCTTTTTCAGAATTGCTTATTAGCCTGTTTTTCTCTTCAGTTTCACAATAAAGTGACCTGCTTCATGCTGCATCATATCGAGGAACCCTGCTCCCTGGGGGCTCATGCTGCTGTTATTGTCCCGCCCACCTGGATCATTAAGGTGAAGAAACCTCAGGTAACTGCCGGATCCTGGTGCTGCTGGCCTAGTGCAGAGAAAAATTAACTGCTCTGATTTGCTTTTCTCCCTCAGTAGTCTCTGGGATCCTATGAGCTTTACACATTCATCCCCAAGGTCTGGTGCTTAGCTGTCAGGCTCATCTCACTGGCCCATCACCTGACTTCACTAGACTCTCTCATGGAACCAGATTCCCATCCTCATGAAAGTCCATTGTCCTCCTAACCCATGTGCAGTGATACTCTGTGAAGGCAGGTCTCCAGAGTTTTAGTGACTACCAGGGAGCGTTTATTGGATGCTCACACATTCTCTTTGAAGCCTGAGAGGAGTCGACAGAGAGCAAGGTTTGCAAGCATCACAGTTTAGTTAAGATTTCTGTCAGTATAAAGGGCAGGCTGTGAGTCATGCCCTCCATTACATACAAGCCTGCTTAGAGAGCCACAGTCTTTTCTTAATACAAATTGAATCTGCTATCTCAGTACCTAATCTCATTCTGTGTGGTTACTAGTTTTCCTCTTCAAGCCAATCTCTTTTTGTTAGTCTGGGGGAACTTCCTGAGGTTGTAGAGATTATCTTTCTGTTTAAAAGGTGGGTGGGGTTTAGAACTGTCAAAAGAGTAGCAAGCAACACAATAGCACACTGTGTACAAAATTATATTCTTGGGCCTGTGAGCCGAGTTAGAGCATGCTAGGTCAATGCTCAAAGCATGTAGGAGTAAGGACATACATATGGCTGAATTTTGATTCCAGAGTCCACAACAATGTTGTAGATATGTTGGTGTTTCCCTAGGAAGGACAATCTTTGTGGCCCTAGATCTCATCTTAGTCATCCTTAGATATTATGCTCAATATAATGGTGTCCTGGATCATGGGTAATTAAGTGTTTACTTAATTAAGAATATCTTCTTGACCTTATACTTTGAAGTAATGTGATAGACGAACATTAGAATATCAAATATATATATTTATATAAGTACAAATACATATACGAAGAGTGAGATGATGTGGATAGACAGACAGATGACAGACAGACAGACAGACAGACAGTAGAGATCCCCATTTGGGCGGCCATTCTACTCTACCGTACCCCACCTTTCTTCTTTTAAGCTTCTTCTCAATGTCTTTTACAGGATTTTCTGACATTGTTTCTGCCTCCATGTTGTTAACATGCTCTGTATTCCACAATTTATAATTCTCTCAATCAAAATCTTATCAATTATGATAAGATAATCATAATTATCTTATCATGAACTCATGCACTATGAGCGATCCCTGAATTTACGGCTATGGAATTCAACAGCAGTGACCACACAATTTTTCTTCCCATCTTTAGAAATGGAATTGTGCTAATAGCCCTCTCCCTCCTTGACAGGGTTATCTTCCTTGATTGTTATCCTACACGCTTTGGCTAGGCTTTCCTTCAAAATCACTGGTTTTATCATTTCTCTCCTGTAAAGAACCCCACTGATTCAGAATAAAGTTAGAATGTGTCAAGAGTCTGTCAATAAGCCTGAGCAGTGACCAGCCCCTCGTGCAAGTCCGCCTTCCTCTCCCAGAATCTACAAATAATGTTTTAGATACATTTATGTCTCCCCCTAGGGAACATACACTCAAAGGACTGAGTTGGGACACTGTAGTCTCTTAAAAGGTAGGATTGTATTTAGGCATTTTAAAGTCTAGTGTATAATGAGTAGTGTACATGTATTATACTTGTACAAAGGGAACTTCAAATAAAAGTGTCTTCTTTCACTAATTTAAAATTTTAGAAACCTCTCCTGGCTTTTCCATTCTATATCCATATTTTTACTACTGGTTTACGTGCACAGAGATGCACCAGTAGGACAGATACAGAGCTGTAGTGCGTACAGGGTTCAGGTTGTTAATGCATGGTGCAGAAAATTCTTTACAACTTGCTTAGTTTGTTTACTAACAAAAATCTTAGCTAGATGCCTCTAGCACTACGTGTAATTCTAAAATAGGTGCTATTTTCATTCAGTAGATATTTCACAGTTGGCCCATACCCTACTGATAGGTATTTACACTGTTTATAATGTCCTGTTTACAGGCAGTGCAGTGCCCACATTTTCTACTCCTGGATGAGGTTGTTTGTTTGTTTGTTTGTTTGTTTTTCTTAATTGTCTTGTTATGACTGGATGATCTTTTATTGCCGGACAGCTGTGAGACAAAATGACAGATTCTATTCACTGGCTAACACAATTCCACAGAATTGCTTAAACCGTTTCTTTGTGAACTCTGAAGAACTCATAGCATGTATGACTTGATGTTACCCGGAGCTCTTGAGACCTGCTCCTTAACTTCAGAGGCAAGTTTTCTTTGTTCTTTCCTGTCATCAGAACCACCTTGATGCCAGTGGGACACCTGGAGCAGGAGGTGAGCGTCTCTTAAATACACAAAGCTCTGGCTTCTTCCTCTGTGACCTGTCAAAATGTTGTCTGGTGTTTATGGGAGAGACTTCCTTGGTTATAATGAAGTGATATATCATTTCAAGGTCTTTTAATATGATCAGTTATTTATGATCCCATAACCTGGAAAAAATCCCTCAAGGGGAATAAGAGCTGAAGTTTCATTTACAGTTAAATGGTTCATCCATGAGGACTTCTGAACTGTCCAGGAGGGAGTCATAACTCTGATAACTGGTTGGTAGGATTAGCTCTGTGGCAAGGTAAGATTTCCCTGACACCTGGTCCAAGAAGACAAAAGGCCTTTATCTTTTCTGGCATCTTTCATAGAACGGCTAAAGGGCAACTGTTGCTGAGCTGAGAAGACCAAAAAATCAAGGCTGAGAGGTGTTGATCTTGTAAGGGGATCATTTAGGCCACGGGGTTAGCTGCCCTTGTCCGAACAGGCAGGCTTTGATTTAGAATGTCAGAGAAGGGTGAAAGGTTTCTCGACTCTTTGATCACTAGTGCTTTACAATTGCTTTTTGACATTGCCTCTGTATTCTTGCAAAGCAGGCTACTTTGTTGAATTCCCTAGGAATATCCCAGGAAGGGTAAGCTTTGCTATTGTCGAAGATAGGTTTCTTAGCTTGTCTTGATTATGGTACATCCCAAATCTGCCTTCCTAGTGATCTCTTCCACACAACGTGCTGCTACCTTGTAACTGAGGAAATGCTGGACATTGGCACTCAAACAGATGGAAGCTGTGGGAATAGTGAGATGAGCTGAGAAATGCCAGATACTTGCTCTTGCTGTTTGACCATTCTTGATAATATAAAACATCCACAGATTTCACGTAGACATGCCCGGGTCCTGTAAGTCAATCGCTACACTTGTTTTGAAAGCCTCAGATGCATTGGTCTTGGTGAGGCTCAGGGGTACTTGCTACATCTCTGTTGAAAGACCATTTTGTGTATCTGCTTCTTCCTAGAGTTGAGTTCCTTGCCTGCCCTCTTTCCCAATTCTCCCTCATTTCTAATTTCATGTCTTCCAAATGTGCTTGAGCATCAAATTACCCAGAATGCTATAAATTTTATAATAAGTTTAAGAAAGTTGTGGAGGACCTTCACCTGGTGCAGCAGAACTACGTCTTGGAATTTATTTGTTGAGCTCTCTCAAGAACCCAGGCCCCTAGTGTATTCCTGAAAGCCCAGGCAACTGGTATTTGCATTTATTTGGTCTAGACAGGAAATGAACTAACACACCATAGCAGTGAGGAGACAAGCCGTCACATCCCGAGCATGGCTGTGGTATGGTTGTGTGCTTAGGACTGGTGCTAGGTAGTGAGGCTAACAGATGTCAGCAGATGCAAGCATGGCTGCAAAACTAATTGCTTCACATACTGTTTCTTGTTCAGACTTAACAGCTGTCCTGTGAGGTAGGCATTGTCACTCCGTGTTAAAACCAAGTGCCTGTTATTTTAAACATCTGTCTGACCTAACAACGTGCGTCCATCTCATCATAGGGAGCTGCTGCTGGATTTGTAGCAAGCCCAATCAGATTCACGGTCCTCCTTTACTCACGGTGGTCTATTTTACCTGGGTCACTTTAGTGCCATTTTTCACAAGTACTCACCCACATTTTCGTCATCAGATGCATGATAGTATCATGATTGTATCACTCATGAAGCTTTGTAGAAGAATCTTTGCTTTGGCTTCATTTAGACAGATTAAGTCTTTTATAGGGTCTAGGTCTGAGTGAGGCTGGTATGTGATGCTGGTTGAGTAGTTGGAGAATCATTTGATGACACCTAACAGAAGCTTCTTCTGCAGCAGCAGTTGCTCCAGACTCCAGATCATCCCTTTCTCATAAACAAGTTTGCCAAAATATGGCATCAACTTTTATAATGAAAAAGAGACAAGAACATCACGAAACATCCCATTAGCCTAGTAGTTTCAAAGGCAGGAGATCTGTTGCAAGGGAAGTGTAGTCAATAATGAATGTCAAGAAAAACTCCTGAGACAGGAGCACCCAGTTTCCCGAATCTCTTTTCTGGAGAGTCTACGAAGTCCTGAAGACATTTTCCTTTGATGGAAGAAGAAAACTTGGGGATGCATGGTGGTTCTTCAAAAAATTTCCCCAGCCTTGGTGAACACGGGCTATACATCAGTTTGCTTATTTTCTTTCTTTCTTTCTTTCCTTCTTTCTTTCTTTCTTTCTTTCTTTCTTTCTTTCTTTCTTTCTTTCTTTCTTTCTTTCTTTCTTTCTCCCTTCCTTCCTTCCTTCCTTCCTTCCTTCCTTCCTTCCTTCCTTCCTTCCTTTCTTTCTTTTTTCTTTAAGTAAAATAAAAAAAGTTAGCTTGTTTGGATTGTGTTGATTCTGATGTGTTGATTTGTGTATTATAGACTAATGTTTAGTTTTGAATGCTCTAAGGAAAAAGTTACGTGCAGATTAGCTATTTAAGTTTCTTCAAGCTAGTTTGAAAACTATTAACTGATCAAATAATATAAGTGTGTATTCTAATGTTTGAGCTAAGAATTCTGCATTTCAGGCTCTCAACACTTGGTCAAACATCTATTATATGGTCAGTACTATCTTACTGTTGTGAAGATGCAGTCTAATTAATTATTAAGCCCACTAGTTAAATCTGATTTATGTTCAGTCTTCAGCCAGCAGTTGTGACTATCTGTAAGACTTCCTCCTCTGAGTATTTGTAGCAAATGACAAGAGAAAATGATTAGACAAAGTAATCATGGATTGTGGCTCATAAAAGCTCTAAAGTAAAATTAAAGAGTCACTATTTGTCAACAACTTTGAGTTACTTCCATAAAAAAGTTTAAGGCTTCTTAGTGGAGAGAAGACATTTAAATTAATGGGTCTTCTGACACACAGAGAAAAATAATGCTCACTGCTCCACTAATGTAAGTAACCGCAATAGGGCGTCTTCCCAGCATTTAAAATATTATGCTTCAGTGTTGATAAGACTGTTGGGTTGTGACGTTCTACTAGAGTTAAGCATTATTTTATAGCTACAACTAAAACAGATCATAAAAAGTAAACAAAGAAGGAAAATGAAGAAAAAAAGAAAAAGATAAAAAAACGGCCTCCTTTTTTACATTTCCACATAGGTGATCTCCATACCAGGAGATGAACTTGAACTTGGTTGGGCGGGAGACGGACCTGGTTGGGCGGGAGACTGGAGCCCCTCAGAGAATTTGGGATTCTTCCATTTTTACTGGGAGGGTTGGCAGGTATACCATGTGTTGTTATGTGAGTCCATAAGAGCCCCCGTGGCTCTAACTCCCTGCCACTTCGTGGCGGGGAGTCAGTTGCTCACTCTGGAGCACTCGACTGGTTTCTGTCTGTGGCTTACCCATGAGCAGTGGCTTGGAAGTGTCAAAGCATGAGAAGCATGCAGTCAACAGCATGCGCTGCCGTCCTCTTCTACATGGTTCTGCATGGAAATGCCAGGGCTGCCTGCCTCTGAGTTTAGCTGCTCCTTCCTTTCCCCACAGAACTCCCTGAAGGCTTCCAATCGAAAGAAGAAAAGAACAAGTTTTAAAAGGAAAGCCAGTAAAAGAGGAACTGAGGTAAGTCTTTCAGAGAGGTGTGTGAAACATAGAGCTTTCTCTATAGAGGCTATTTGGCCCAAGGATCTGGCCCACACTTAATTTTGTGATGTCCCTTTTGTAGGATTTTTTTTCCTTTAGCCATTCTATGCATGTTGGAATCCTTAATGTTCCAAATCCAACGAGCTATCCATCCATCCATTAGTCATATCTGACCTGCCATACCAGAGGCAGGGTGTCTAAAATGATGCTGATGATAGAGATGACAATAAGGACAGACACTTAAGAGTGCAGAGTGAAATCCAAAGCATAGCTCGGTTTTCTGGACTAACTTACAGTGGGAGGTGCTTTGTTCCAGGAGATGCATACGCTCTGCTGTGAAGATTCAGCCTTATGGAATAAGACTCATGATCTTAGGGGTGCAAGGTGTTCTCTCTCCCCATTGCTCTGTGATTACATCCAAAGCCATGGGTATTTATCCTAATGGTGCTGCCTGCCTCCTTCAGCAGGAAAACAAAGGCCGTCCTTTTGTGATCAAGCCCATCTCCTCTCCTCTCATGAAGCCTTTGCTTGTCTTTGTGAACCCAAAGAGTGGGGGAAACCAGGTGAGTCAGTTTTCATGTGTTTCACTTCGAATATTTGATACGTCAAAGACTCAGCCCCCAGTACCGAGTAACATAGCATCCTGGGAGCCCAGGCATCTGAGCTTTGCCAGGACCGGGACCAGACTCAAAGCCTTGAGCCTGCAGTCTGTCACTCTCCTTCCATACACAGCTAGACCAGAGGTACTCATAAGACCTCAGGACTAGCATTTTCTTTACAGATATTCTATAAGGATTGCTTCATCGTTCCTCTGAATTAACAGATTTTACTGAAAAAGCAAAGGAAGATTTATTTGTGTTCAATATGGTCACGCTAAAGAAGAGAACAACAGAAAGGTTCAGTGACTCCTATGTCCCTCTCCCCTTAGTTCTCATAATTAAGGATACCTTTACAATGTGTCTTTATTTTCTTTCAGTTATAATTTAACTGACTCCTTTGTCCCTGTCCTCAGGGAAAGGAACAATTGGAACTCATTGGTCACAGCCATTGTAAAGAAGTACCTCAAGGCCAGAGAAAATAATCAGTTTCTAAAGACGTCGTTACTTCATCTGCTCTCTGCCCAGGTCTTTCAGTATAGCTTAATATTAACCCCAGTTAAGATTACAAGTATGTCCTCACAGAAGATAATGGCATTCCCACGGCAACCTTGCTCTGCAAGGACACAGTTGTTTTTTTCTGTAATACAGTCCTTTATCTTTGGATTCATTTCTCTTCCAGCACCCTGGGGATTCTTTACTAAGGCTTTTCTGTGGGCTTTGATTTTTCTATTATTTTCTTGGGTATTTGGATGCAAACATATCTTTTTCTGACCCATTAAGTGTGTACACTTTACGCTTTGAGAAAAGACTCTTTGAAGTTTCACCATCAACAAGTAGAGATCTGAGCCTCTTTAATGGCCTACGGTGAGGATGTCGTGTTATTAGGAGTTTGACTGAGTCTTACAAATGATGTCATCTTTGCTAAAATAATGGCCATTTCCCAGGATGAACTGGTTACAGTGAAACTTGTATGGGAGCTTATGATTTCAAAGAAACCTCGGGTCTCCTCTGTCGGTATAGGTCCAAACTCAGTGCGTCATCATCCTCATCTGTATAAATAGGCGGAGCTTCCCCGACCTCTTCTCTTTCCTCTCTGCCATCTTCTGTCTCCCTCTCTCTCTTTCTCTCACCCTCCATCTTCAATAAATCCCACTCCCGTGGAACTGGTCTTGTTGGTTCTTTTCCCGTGGAACCGGTCTCGTTGGTCCTTACATCCTCCTTCTTCAAGATTTCTGATCACTTGAAATGTTAAAAATAAATCTCAGTACTCTGGAGAACAGGGAAAACAGATGTTAGAACAAAGAAACCATGTATTTTCTGCACCCTTCAGTTTCCTGTCTCTGAGTGATGACGTGCTTCCTAGTTTGATGGTGTGCTTCTACTGTAATACTAGAGAAGGACCTAGTGAAGGATTTCTTAGGGCTGATGTTCAGTTTTCCCTGACACACCCACTCAGGGGCTGGCCTCCTTGTAGCCTAATGAGGGTGATGCGGTTGAGAATCCAGAAACAGAGCAAAGAATATGTGATTAGTTTCATGGGTTTGGCAGTCTGAGCACTGCAGGTTAGTTAGCATCGACTAAATTGTATCAGGGCACTCCCTACATAACACATATTTTTTTTTAGTAGCCCAAGCTGGCTTTCAGCTTCCTGGAGAGTTAAGAATGACTTGAATCATCCTGCCCTCTCCCTGTCCCTTCTGCGGATTACAGCATGTGCCACCATGCCTGGTTAGTGCAATGCTGGGTGCAGAACCCATGATTTCACGTGTGCTTGGCAAGTACTCCATTACCTGAACTACACCCCAGCCCCGAAGTGAGTTCATTAATCATGCTACCTCACACAGGCGTTTTGGTTTTCCTTGCCTTCGTGAGGCTACCAAGCCAGTTATGATACAGCCCTGCTCCTGTTCCAATCTCTGAATTAATAATGATGAAAGACTTCAGACATTATCTAATACTGCTTCTCAGTTCACTAAGTACTAACAGATCGAGGATGCCTAGGTGAATTTGGAGATCTTTGTTGTTCAGGGCAGGAAAGGGGCCAATAGCGGGGGTGGAAATCAGGTGACATTTGTCCTGTGTTCCAAACTGAGCACATCAGAGTGCAAGAACTGTGGAATTCCACAGAGAAAGAGTGACTTTGGAGTGATCTGGAGATTGTGAAAGGACTGAACCGGAAGAGGGGTTCTGTGTGTAGTTACTCAGAGAGGGAATCTGAGAGGAAAGTCCCCTCTCTTTCTCTAACACGGGAAATTTCTGGGCACCCTTCAAGGCTCACTGGTGCCTTTCTAAACCACTTTCAAAATCAGTCACCCTCTCACTGTGTTCTAAGGCCCTGGGATGCACCAGTCCCTCAGTGATGATAGCGGTTGTGTCCTCTGGGTCTTTGTTCTCTCTAAGTGTAGGTGTCAGAGTACTAGGGGGATTTTTAGGGCATGGAGCATAGTAAACCAACAGTTGTATAGTGAGAGAGACAAACATCAGAACAGACACTGCAGTTCCACGTTCCGATGACGACACTGCTCTGAATGGAACGTGCAGAAAGAAAAAATAGGAAATGTGATTGGATAAATGTTTCCAGCCCATGGAAAATGCCTTAAAACTTGGGGTTGTGCCATGGAAACTAGATTTAGAGTACTTTGTTTTTTGAAGTCTTTCTGTTTGTAAACAGCAACAGCAAGGTAACCTAGCTAAGTTTAGTGTGCAGATAGTCTCCTGGGAGCCTGTTAAGGCACAGGTGACGTCTCAGTAAGTCACGGTGGCCATGAGCATACAGGTAGAACCTCTCATTCCTCACATGTTCTCGATGCTGCCTCTGCCTCTGCTTGAGGAGACAAATCTAGCTACCTGGCCAGGGCTTCTTGCTACAATAAGAGGGGGGAACATAGAGTTTTTTTATATGATTTTTATAGTTTAACAATTAATATTTCACTTATCCTACTCATCTGGTTTTAGGTAAAAGTTGTTTTTGACTCATTTCCTCTCTGAAGAGTAGGCTCCAGAATGACTTTTAAACTTCCACTAGTCTAGTAAACAACTAGATGATACTGCCATCTAGTGGCTAGAAAGAAAACTGTCTCTTGTTCAATAGACTGAACTGAGAACAGACTCTTTGGGTCATAGAAGGAACAAAAAAGCCTTGCCAGGCTTTGTAGTCATTCCTCTCTTGGAAGGATACATTAAGATATTAGGAGTTCCAGCGAACACAGATTTACAATGAGCAAAACTGAAACCATGCAGCTGATCAAACCTTTTACAGAAACTTTAGGCTGAGGAAAATAACCTTTCTGCACTTTATATTTTCTTTTCTTGAAAGCTGTTAATTATCTCACATTGTCTGCATAATATGAGAAACTGAAATCATGATGTGTGTTCTTACGTAGCTAAGAGGTGAGAAGGCATAATTAACGCCAGCCATTCATGCTGCTTTTGGAATGAATCTAAGACAGAAAAACCAACTTTCTGTCCAGCCAGTGGGATATGTTGTATAAATTAGTTGGTCATTAACGTGATGCTTACGTTATTTATTTAACATGCGATATGATCAAAATAATCCTGAATGCATTTGGTAGCAAGGCTCAGTCAGAATGGAAAGAAAGAAAATATCACTCATGTTGCTGCTATGATGTCCCTAAATTCATGTTTGTGTTTGACCAGGAGCAAAATATTTCATTTGGTGAGGCGAAGGAGGTGTTCTGATAATTAAGAATGGAGTGTTAGTCCTAAAATTACTGAAAACATGTGATAAGGTGGAACTTGGAGATTACGGCTTTGGGGGATCTGTGGAACAAAAGACCTGCATTGGCTCCTGTGCCAACCTACACGGCAGTGAGATAATTACCAAGCACGTCTGACCCCAGACAGCAAGTGTAATTGAACAAGTGGCTGTACAAAGAGCAGAGAGGGAGCAGCGTGTTGGAAGGTCTCTTTTGGGCCACATGCTGTGCTAGATGCTCAACCGTTATCCAGTCAGCTGATTCCCAATAATCTCCCTGGACAGCCCCTTTTCATTTACATACGGCACCTGTGCCAGAAGCTAAATGCTCTCCACCACACAGAGCAACCCCCTTAGTTCTCACCCTAAGCTCTCACTACCTTGCCAGGGCAGCCCTTCCACACAGCAGACCAGATAGGATATACAACCAAGAATAGTTTTTGAAGCGATCATTGCTTTACTAAAGGAACGGCATCGTACTTGACAAGCTGTAACTTGCTGTAGTTGATAAAAATGAATCACTTTGCTCAAGTTTAAAGCTCTGTTGATAGTAATTCAAAATATCATTTGTTTCTTTTTTAAAAAATCCTCAGTAAATGTTAAGAAGCCATCTCCTACACTACCTTTTGTCTGTCATATTGTCTCTATGAATACTGCAGTTTATTCAAACCACATCAGGTGACTGAGAAGGGTTGGTTTAAGCTAACACAGACGTGTAGATAGTATTAGCTAATGAGCTAGCCTATGTCATTTAACATTAAAATTTAAACTTTATCGTTTGGATTATTATTTTCCACATACAGTATGAATTATGGATAATATTAGGTAGCTGTAAATTTATTGAAATAATTTTTCTATGTGAAGCCAAAAAATAAATGAAAGCATATATATTTTACATGGAGAAGTTTAGTTCTATTTGTATAGATGACAATTTCATTTTTGATAATACAGGCTGTCACTGTGTAATTCAAACTGGATTTGAATTCACAGTCCTTTGACTCTTGATCTTGAATGCTAGTGTTTTGAGCCTGGGTCCCCATGCCAGACACACAGAAAATGTTTATGTGTAAAATTTATTTGTACTTCCATTTTGTCTGCCTCAGTGAGAAAAGTTATTTCAATAAAACTACAATGAACTAATATTGCCTGTTTTTCTGTGTTCAGACAAAGTAAAAATCTATGTTAAATGACACAGGCTGGCCTCTTTCTATATAAACTTTTCATCGTTACAAAGTGAGATCAACTGTGTAATTACTGTTCATTAAGCACTTACCACACGTTAATGCAATTGAGCCTTGCAGTAGTGGGCTCTCTCCGCTCCATATTAAAGAGAACACACAGTAAGCCTAATGGTACTATCCAGGTTGGACACCCATCTCACCTGTGCATGCGCTCAGAGTACATACATACAATCAAAGCTCATGACTTTTAACTACTGTTCCTGTTCCCTATGGTTTGTAATCAAAATATTATTTAAAGGATTTGCTTGGTTTTAGTGTGTGTGTGTGTGTGTGTGTGTGTGTGTGTGTGTGTGTGTATGAGCGTGTGTACCTACTAAGGCCACAAGTATCAGATCTTCTTTGTGGGGGGTGGGGAGGGCTTAGTTACATGCAGTTATGAGCTGCCATTGTGAGCACTAGCGATGGACTTGGGGCTGTCTACAGGAGGGCTATGCACTCTTGAAGCACTGTGCCATCTTTCCAGATCACTTAATAATGCTTTAACAGAGAATGAGTCTGGTGGGTTTTTTTTTTAAGTTTGGAAAAAAAATTGCCTTTTATTTATTTGCTTATTTATTTCATTATAGGGTACCAAAGTCCTACAGATGTTTATGTGGTACCTGAATCCACGGCAAGTCTTTGATCTTTCTCAGGAAGGGCCAAAAGATGCGTAAGTCTGGAAACATCCTCCGTAATATGGCTGTAATATGGACCATTGGAATTGGGGTCAAGGGTATTTATTATCTGATGGCCTGTGACGTCTTTTCTGTCATCTTTCATTAACTTCCTTACCTGCATTCTGCTCTTCTTGAAACCTTCTGATGGCCCCCCCACCACGTGCTGTCTTTGCATTTGTTTCCTCCAGATTACTGTCTCCTCAATTGTTGGGTCAGTGCCTGCTGTCGTGGTGTGCTTGCAGCTGGGGCATACAGGACTGAAGCTTATTCTTAGAAAGTCAGGGAATGAGAAAGCACTCCTTGCTTTTCTGTTTATGCATGTCTGATTTTGGAGATACGCTTAAACAGAAACGTGAGATTATAACCCAGAGGGTCAGCATCTGTATGAATAAATTTTCATTCTGGAGAGATTGCGTGTGTATGATTGCATCCGGAATGTGTCTCTGGGAATAGGGGAGAAAGTAGAAGAAAGAAGAGAGAGAGGGAAAGAGGGAAACATGGAGGGAGGGAGAGAGGGAGGGAAGGAAGTGGGAGGGAGGGAGAGGGAGTGGTAGGGATATTGAGATGAACTAATCATAGCTTCAGATGCTGCAGGTCAGTGAGATGGGCATTTCAATTTCTGTTCTACCTCCTTTCTGGATTTCTGTGTTTAGTTAGAAATGTTGAAAATGAAGTCTGGATGTACATGACCCAACACAGCAACAAAGAACGGGGCATTTCTGTTCCTGTTTGGTTCACTGTCGTAAATCCATTGCATTACTAAGATAGTTCAAGTAACATGTGAGTTGGCAGTTAGTTTTTTTCATAAACAGTGATGTCAGTGTGAAAGAGATGTCAATACGGATGGTTTCTAGGAAATGATATTCCTGTATAAAATGGGTAAATTAGACATTTTAAACATGTAAGGAAATAACGGCTATGAAAGACATCTTTATTATTTCCTTACTCTGCATTTCTTCGCCACCAAGGTCTGCTGTGAGACTTCTTTATTTTAATGTTTCTTTATGTCACATTAACTATATCTCGCTTCCTTGGGGTCTTTGGATCTTATATTCATTAAGATTTTTCAATCACTTAAGTTATACTTTATATGGATGTTTTATAAGGATCATAGCAAGGCAATTTTTCCAAAGCAAGAAAGAAATATTTTCAGGAAAACCTACGCCATTTATTACATGTAAGTAGACAGTGGCTTCTGGAGCAGAGCTACCAATGTCTGCCTTCAGCAGGAAGCTTTGCCAGGCAGAATGACTGTGCTCTCTTGAAGCCAATCAGAAAGATGAAATGATCTGACCCCAAACAGGCATGTTCAAAGTAAAGAGAAACCGGTGGGCTTCCCCCGCCTCAGCCTGAGGAAAGACTGTGATCGAGTGAGCGAAGGTAGACTCATGCTAACTGTAGCAGTAGCAATGATGACTCTTCTCCGTCTTTTTCAGCTTTCAACTTTCCAAGGATTGAGAGTGGGAAGTGTAGATTTGAGAGGTAAATAGACTCAGGAAAAGCTAATCAAAATTAAGTAAGGAGGAAACTAAAGATTACTGAGTATCAGCTAGTCAGGTCTTTTTCTCCCTCTGAGAAAGGAATGACAGAAAATGGAAAAGAAGAAAGGAAGTAAAAACCTAGAGAGCAAGGTAATGTGGACTGAGAGGACGGGGAATTATGGGAATTCTCCCACCCAGTGTTGCACCTGTGGAGCACCTGGTCACAGTGGAGCACCTGTGACCTCTGGTTTCTGATTCAGTGGCAAGAGTCAGTTTACCTTGGTTCTGTGAGCAGTGGAAGAGCACGCATGTCCTCCATGGGTTGTACCTATGCCTTTTGCCCTGCAGTTCCTCTCTACAGAGAACCATGTGCTTACATTGTCTTCCATTTCCTTTCCAGGCTGGAGTTGTACAGGAAGGTACCAAATCTTCGAATTCTGGCCTGCGGTGGGGATGGAACGGTAGGTCCTTGAGAGAGAATCTGTTCTCCCCCTTCCACATCTGTCTTCCTGATTGGGTTCCCTGGGGGAGTTTTATCTCCAGCCCCAGTCTCTCAAACGAATGCCTATCTGATGAGACTCCTAAGCCCTGGGACTGAGAAGGGCTTTGTTGTCCTCCAGGGATTCACCCAGCCTTCTATGTCTACGGTACTGCACCATTCTCTGTTGCGAATAAAGACATTGCCATCACTGGATAAAGATTTTCACAGATGGCTAACTCCTTTTTCAAATACTAGCTGACATATTTCCACGTACCCTTTCATAGCTACTGTTTATTAATCAAGTTTGTTTCTAAACCAATACATAAAAACAAAAATACTATCGCCAGGCCTCGCCACTGTTAGGCATTTTTGATGGTAGCTTTCTTACTAAGGAAGTCTGCTGCCTCATTGTGGTTTTGATTTGCATTTTCTTGAATACTAGTAGTGTTGGGCTTTCTCACACAGACCTGTCCTCCATTGTTGTCTTTTGAGAAATGCTTATTGCAGTTGATCCTTCTAAACTGGATTGTGCTTCAGGGGTTGAGATCTTTAGAGTTTGTTATTCAGGCTGGGTATTAACCCTTTGTCAGATGTATAGTTTGTAGAATAAATAAATAGAAAAACCAAATGTATAAAAAATAAACAAACGTAAAACAACGAGAGACAAGGGAGTCAGACATTGCTCAGCTTTTTCTGAAGACGTATCATAGACTGAAAGTACATGATAAGGCATGATGGTTCCCCATGCAAGCAGCATGTGGGTTCTGGGATTCAAACTCAAGTCGCCAGGCTTGTGCGGTAAGCATTTTATTCACGGAGAGAGACATCTACCAGGGTCACCTGCCCTGCCTTTGACTGCCTGTCTTGTGTTTTTAATTTTGCTGTTAATTTTCAGTTAAAGGATTTTTTTTTTTAAGAGATAGGATTCTCTGTGTAGCCCTGGCTGTCTTGGAATGTACTCTGTAGACCAGACTGGCCTCAAGGCACAGAGATCTGCTTGCCTCTGCTTCCTGTTTGCATCACCACAGCCAGGCGTGTTTGTTTATGGGCCTATGAATGAGATAGCTCAGCAGGTAAAGGAGTTTGTGCTGCCAACCCGATCATCTGAGGTCAGTTCCTGGAACCCGTATGGTAGAAGAAAAGATATGACTCTGAAGAGTTGGCTTCTGTCTTCCACATGCGGGTCATGGCCCAAGCACAGAGCACCCATTGATTTGTATTTTCTCTCGCTTTCTCCCTCCCCATTCTCTCTGTCTCTCTCACAAACATTAAATAAATAAAAAATTAAAATTATTTTATCCTTATTGTTCCTCTCTTGGAGTATTGTTTTTTTCCCTCTACCTTTTCTTGAGTTTCCTCAAACCATCTGTTTTTAAAATCTGTAGTCTAAAAACTTGCACACACCCACTTACTGTGGTTCCTTTCTTGTGCTTTACTTTTACAGTAGGTGAGACCCTGGTTTTCATCAGCTCTCTTGGTGTTGGTTTGTGACATTATCTGACGTCACCTGAGCATCGATGTTCAGGCTTTTAATCCAGCCTTTGTAGTTTGGTTTTACTTGTGCCTTTCCTTAGAGAAACTCTTGAGAGGTTTCCCCCTTAACTCTACAATTGCTTTTGCTATTTCAACATTAGATGGTTAGTTCCGGCATTCACCCACTAGAGGGCAGTCTAAGCTCATGTTTATCCTAATCCACGTGGTATGTCGTTCAGCTTGAACCAAGTTATAACCCAAGAAACGATGATCAACTCCCAAACCTAGCTATTGGTTTTGGCTTCACTCAGAGCACAGCAACTTGCCTATGCTCACAGAGACCACCATCAGGCCTGCGGTCGCTCATGTTGCAAAGCTGTTTCATGCTATGAACTGGAGACAGCACTGGAGTAGCCCCCCCGGCCAGTGATGCTCTGTGCTGTGAATAGCTCAAATAGACTTATGGCCTAAGACAACTAGAGTCAGATGAAGGTGATGCAGGCCCAAACATAAGCCTAATAGACTGGGGACTTATGTCTGTGTTGGCACCAAGGTAGTTCTCTTGTGTTAGTACAGGCCTGGGAATGGAAGCTTTTAATACCTTCTGAGTGTCATGCCTGCCATAAGGTTCTAAGGCTTAGTGCTGGCGTAATTAATGTATCCCGTCATGAGAAAATGGAAGCTTACTCGGCACTAGGCTGGGCTAATAATGGAGTGTTGGGGAAGACAGTTTAAATGCCAGGTAGAGTAGTACTTACATTCCCAGCTCAAAGGGCCAGTACAGTATCAGGTGTGAGGCTTATGCCACAGCCAGAAGGGATGCAGGCCAAAATACGAGTCTTTCATACTGGGACTTAAGATAGTGGCTAGTGCTGCTCATGTAGGCCTAGAGGCTCTTTCCTTGAATACTTGCATGGGCATTGCTGTTGACAACTAAGTCTGAGGTCAGAGGTGGTGCTTTGGCACCACCAACACTGATGCTAAACTGGGTCACAAGTGAGTCTCACAACCACAGGGACCTGTGCCATCTTGGGACATCTCAGACCAATTCCAAGGCAGGCAATGAGAAAACCCAAGACTTGAGTCTGCCCCTCGGGGTATGGGTCTGTTTCAGAAGCTGGGGCCGTTAGTTGGTGAGGTCTAGCCCAGTTATGAGTCCTGAGTCCTTTGATTTTTGCCTGGTGTTAGAACCCATTGTTGAGGCTGAGTACTGAGCGTGAAGTTTTTGTCCTGTGCTAGCTTTCATGCCCTACCAGCAGGTTGAGTCTGCCTCTGCTTCTGCTGCCTGAGTCTGGAGAGCAAAGTATAGTGGAGGTAATTCTTGCTCCCTGAGAATTGACCTGGGGCAGGGGCAGGGGCTGTTTCTCTTACATCTGGTGTCACTCTGGCAAGACTGATACCGGGTTTCAGGTTTAGCCTGATTTCTTCCACTTTTCCACATGAGGCTGTCTTTCTCCCCAGCACTTGGACTTGGCTCCTTCCTGTCTTCCTCAGTGTACTTCTTGTTATTGTACTTCAATCAGGCACTGTAACTTCCCACCTGAGTTGTTAGCTTTTGTGAAGGTAGTGTGGTGTGTGGCAGCTTTCAAACAACTGTCTGGGTGAAGAGATTATCGCTGGAGAATTTTTCCACACCACTATCTTGTCACATTGCAATTTGCTCTTTAAAATTGGTTATATTTAATAAGAAATATGTGGTTTCTGTTGAAATTCTTTGTTCTTTTTCTGTTGGAAGTAAACTGTAGAACATTTGATAACACAGAGTTGTCTCAGAGGTTACTTAATTTCGCTGGCATTTATAGCTTTTTTTGTTTGTTTGTTTGTGAGTGTATGCTCATCTATGTTTAGGTACGAATGTAGAGGTCAGAGGTCCACCCCATGTGTCTTCCTCCATTACTCTACCTGGGGTCGGTCAGTCTCTCTCTCTCTCTCTCTC